AAAAAACCAAACAAAAAAACCAACCCAAACAAAACAAACACAACCCCCCCAAAACACAATGATCTGGGAAGCATGACAAAGGGAGGTATGCCTGTGTCTGCGGACCCCCCGGGTACTTGGACTCTGATTCAAGAAAAACTGAAGATTTAAAGGAAAATCTAACCTAAACCAACACAAACACAACAGTGTCTCTATCATAATTTTTGTGCCCAAACATCGTGTTAAGAAGCTTATTTGATTTCTTCCGTTTAATGTCTGAAAATAATTAAGCTCTTTATCTGCCAGCAAAGGGAGATAAAGGACCAAAGTTGTAAGAGCAATAAACTGGCTCAGATGGACCCCTGGCCTGGCGCTCTGAGCCTGGAGAAGGTAATTCCTTTCTCTGGGACTCTGTTTTCTTACCATGAAAAGAGGGGAAGGGGTATTTGATATTCAAGATTGCTTCCGACTCCAAGCCCCAGGAGCGCTGTGTTCTGGGGGAAATTTGGGATTAGACAGGAGTCCTTGATGTGTAGGGAGGCAGAGGGGACGGTCCAGACAGACCCCAGCGTGCAGTGCGCTGCGAGGACCTGAGAGATGGCACAGCCGTGGCCTGGCTTCCCCAGGAAGAGGGGGAGGGTCAGTGTCACCGTTTTGTCTGCAGGTCTAAGGAGCTCATAACTCAGCCCAGTCAAAGGTCACTCGCCATCTGAGTTTCACTTTTCAGAGGATTACAGCTGTAGGAGGCGAACGTGCAGGTCTGATTGGAAGCTCATCTTCAGGGATTTGGCTCTTCCTTCAGTTTAGGGGAGGCGGCTTAAACCCTCCTTCACCCAAAGCCCCTGGGGAAACAGGGGCCCCTCCACCTGCTCTGGCTGTGCTCAATTCTCCCTCCAGTCAGCACGTCAGGCTCTGACCTGTCTTTGGACACCTGCCCTGTGGATGAAGGGTACACCTGAGACCCAGTGAGAAGACGACCCAGCAGCCCCTGGTTTCGTCCCCAAGGAAAGAGGGAGACGCGTGAGTGGATTGGAGAGTGGCTGGTGGAGGATGGTGAGGGGAGGCTGGGGAAGGTGGCTAAGATGAGGAACTGGGGCATAGAGACACGTGGTGTACATGCGGATGCGCAGGCACCCGGCAGGGAAACCCTGCCACTTGTCCTAATGCCTCCCTCCTGTATTTTGCACTCACACCCCACTCTAAACTTTGCGAAGTGCTGCCAGAGTTTACCAGATCCTCACAGGGTTGCTGTGAAGCAGGCTGGGCGAGGAAGGGGCTCTAGACCAGACTCAGAAAACCAGGACCACGTTACTCGTTTGTCGTGGCTGACGTTGGGCTTGTGCCCCCGAGCCTTGCTTCTGTGTCTGGCGACAGTGCAGCTGCAGAAATGTTAGGAGTGACTGTCTCCTCCAGAGACGAGAGAAAGGAGGGGTTCACGAAAACAGAGTAAGATGCCCAAGGTCACAGAGGTAAACACAACTCACCTCATCTCCAAGAACCCTCACTTTCCTTTCCTTTCTCTCCTAAAAACGTTTGTCTATTAAGTTTATATGGATAAATGAGCTCCCAGCTTCACGAATTGATTTATTTTCCTCTATGGTTACTTGGCAATCTGAGGATTTAACTTTTGAAGTTTTGTTTTTTTTTAACTGAAAAAATTCCTCTAATGACTCGGGACATCTAGAAATTTGTAATTTTCTTTGGCATGAATTTTAACAGTACATGCATAGACCTTGAAATCTGGAATGGTTATTTACCTACTGACTGAACAGCAGCTACCACTTATTGCTGCATCTTAATACTTGCACTTTATACAGAAGAGTAAATGGAACGTGGGTTTTTGAGAATTTGATGATACACAGGCATGTTAGATCATATCGCTTGACAGTATCAAAGTTTACCATTTTTAATATCAATGGTGGTTACATTAAATGGTAAAATGGAGATGTCAGAAACTTATAATTAAAATGTTTTGATTTAAAGCTTACAATCTAAGTCTGGTTATTTATTTACAAAAAAAAAATGCCAAAGATTTTCAGCACGCTGACAGCAGGTGGTCTATGGTAGTGTTTTTGTCCTTTTAGCCCAGAAGACATTTTCATTTGTCAGAAATCTTCCTTCAGGGCCCCCGAAGAGCTTAAAGTACAACACAGTAAGTAAGAGTGTGGAAATGATGGATAAATGCAGAGAAAGGGAGCCAAGCCCATTGCATCATCTGACAGTGGAAGGCTCTGATGTCATCCCTCGTGTCTGCACAGCCATCGGGAACCACAGAAACGCTTGCTGTATCACAGCCTCATTTAGGCGCCATCATGTTTCCTCTTGTGTTTGCTCCAGGGAGGATGGTGGATTTTCCGGGATACAGTCTGTCTGGCGTAGCTGCCTCCTTCCTCTTTGTATTGCTCAGCATGAGGCAGTCAGGTAGGACGCTCTTCTTCCTTTGACTGTATACTCGAGTGTCTCAGAGGTCCAGTCTGGGTGCAGAGATCGAAATTCAAAAGGCCAGTACAACGTTAAGAGTGGAGATCCAGGAGCCGGAGCACCTGTGTTCCAAAAAGGGCTCCTCCACTCTCAGCTGTGTTATCTTTGGAACTTACTTGAATACCTTCTGCCTTAGTTTTCTCACCTCTATGATAAGGGTAACAGCCTACCTATGTCTCATAGGCTGGCACAGGCTTTAAGATTAAATGAGGCTGTACGTGGAAAACACTGGAACACGTTAAGTCATCCATTCTTGTGCTTCTATTCAGAACAGCACTTTGGGGGTGAAAAGAGTGGCTGCTTTTAACCATAAATTAAACAGCATAAAAATACTTGGAAATAAGAAACTAGAAGGAGACCTCCAAGAATTAGGCTTGGAAATCTCAGTAGCTAAAGTTTGTTGGTCAAAATATTGCACTTGAAACAGGATTGTGAAAATTTGATGTCAGTGGGTAACATTGGAGCCCAAGGAACACACAGGGTGGCAAAGTGGGGAGTCTCTGGACAGGACCCGAGGAGACACAGGCTCCAGACTGAGGCTGCCAGAAACTACATGATGTGGTGAGGCTGCCAGAAACCTCTGTGTGATACTCCTTCCTAACGTGTTAAAAAAAAGAAAAAGAAAAAGCCAACCAGATGGTAGGACTCCAGTTCTGGCTTTATCTCTAGATTGCATCCATGCAGAACGCAAGCAGATCACCACCCAAGTCCCACAGTCACCTCTGAGCACCATCTATTTGGTATCGAGCAGCAACTAAGCAAGATGCTATTCCTTCTTAGGAAGATTGGATCTGCACAGAGAAAGTGCCAATGGCCCTGGAGCATTTTAGGATGAGGAAAAAACATCATATACACGACAGATGAAATGATTAAGCGTAGTAACAGACAGAACTGTTCAGCATCTCTTCAATTTGCAGATAACGAAGAGGTCAAACATGACTTAAAATTTGATTGGGAGGCTTCAACTCTTTACACAAATCATGACCCTTAATTCACTACAAAATGTCCTTGCAAAAACAACACTTTACATAGCCCCAGTCGCTGGAGTCTTGCCTGCTCCAGACCAAAAAACAAACAAACAAAAAACCAACCAAATAAACAAACAAACAAACAAAAAAGAAAAACAACCAAAAAAGCTTTACCTAGGACAAGAGCAGTCCCGAAAAGCTGAACAGTCTATTGGATAAACCTATTACCTAAATTTTAGGAAAAATGACTGATTATAATTCAGTCACTGAAGTGAAATTACTGACTATAAAATAAATCACGATAAAATAAAAAGTAAGTCACTAACTAATAAAGTTCCCAACTGAAAAATCAATTTATACACTAACTTATTTGAGAATAAAAACAACCTTAAGATGGAGGTTTTAGTATCTTAAAGATTAAGAAATTGAGATTCCAAATCTCAAAATCTCATTGAGAATAATGGATTTGCCCCACTTCCCATCACACATCATAATGCTGGATTTCTCTAGAACATTGAAAATAAAGCTTTCCCTCCTCCAGATGCCTCCATTTTGAGAGGCTGGACCTCCCAAAGCAAACATATTGATCCTCCAGTTGGCTTTTCCTGGCTCTCGTTGTCCCTCTTTTGTAGATGACTTCAGAGTGATTGGTTCCGCCCGTCCTGTCCTGGCCGTGGTCGGAGAAGATGCCGTCCTGACCTGTCAGCTCCTTCCCAGGAGAACCGCAGCGCACATGGAAGTGCGGTGGCACCGCTCAGAGCCCAGCACACCTGTGTTCGCGTACCGGGACGGAGCTGAGGTGACGGGGACACAGATGGAGGGATACAGAGACCGGGCAGAGTGGATACAGGACAACATTGCTGAGGGAACCGTGGCTCTGAAGATTCACAGCATCCAACCATCCGACGATGGGCAGTACTGGTGCCGCTTCCAAGAGGGAAACTACTGTGGGGAGACAAGCTTGTGGCTCAGAGTAGCAGGTGAATATCGGGGGAAAGACATAAGGTCTTGGAAAGAGAGGTATATTAATTTGTGGTGAGCTTATTGCCAACGGAAGAATTCCCTTTGCGTCATCAAGGTAATTGCTACTGCCCAGTTCTCCATTCCCGATTCACTTGAAGGCAAGTGCTTCTGAAGTCTTTAAAGTGAGCTCACCCATACACAGTTTCCCCAGATTTAAGTTACACGTTTTGACTATTCTTGAGGACTATTTACAGTTGATGACATGTAGCCTTTAACAGTTTTGCGGAGGCAAGAACCCACGCCATGCGGACTGGCACACAAGGGCGGGTCTGTTGCTGTGTTACATCTGTGTTCTCTACTCAGCCTGAAAATACAGGGACTGAGAAGTGAACACTTTGTTTCTTTGTGTAACACCTCCCGTTAGAAGGCTCCTGATGAGACTGAAGAGGTTAAGAACACTGTGTTTTGTGGGGATTATCATATACTCCTGTTCAGTGAACTGGGGGATCGAGGATGCTCTTGGACATGCCCACTGTGAAGGGCAAGGTTCTGTATGATGCTGTTGTGTTGGCAAAGTAGGGAGGAGTTGGAAGAAGGAGAGTGAAGAAAGGATTTCTCTGTGGGAAAACAAAATATCTGAAAAGTGGACTATCACATGGTTCCCTGGCAGGAGTAACTCCATCATGTGCTAAAGACAAAATCAGGTGAATCTCTTTCCCTCATTGGAGAAATGGCTCTCTGGAGGTGCTAACGTCTCCGGCCGATGCTGCTTCCTTCTTTGCTCCCCCATGAGGCTGTTCCCTGACACCTTTTTGAGTACCACCTGTGACTATGATTATTACTGCTAATATGTTCAGGGTGATTCAAAGTGGAGGAAATCCCCGTGCTTGTGAGATGTGCACAGTGGAGGGCACATACCAAGGCGTTTCACCAGGAATATCTGAAAACCAAACATGCATTTTCTAAGGCCCTAACTGAGGAAGTGGGTCTCTGTCTTCCGGCAAGTGATAGAGACAGAATCACCATCTATGGAAAATATAATCACCTTTGTTTGGGTTTGAGAGTTGTGTTGAATACAGAAAGAATTTCCTGATTGTATAAAACTGGGCTGTTTCAAAAACATCTTCCCATGGAATGGAATATTTAGGCTGAGGAACTCCTCATGAATCTTGCCACTTTACACACCCCAGGTTATCTGTTTGCATCTCAAGGTCACAACCACCAACAAAAGGGAGGGGAAGAACATTTTCCCTGGAGGTGATTTCTCCCCTTATATTAAATATTCTATTTAAATTAGAGTCAAGCTATCATCCAACAGGTGAGACAAAGTGCCTGCTACAATAAGATGAAAAAGGCAGAGTTTGTGGCATGAGAGAGTTCATGAATAAATCTTTGTTTGCAGAGATGGAAACAAAATGTCATTATGTCCTTTCCCCTTATTTTCCTGTCTGGATCTGCATACAAATACTGCTCATATACTAAAATATAAAGAATCAGACTGGGGTACATATAAAGTGTGTGCAAACTCCAGTTTGAATGGGAAGAAGACTTTGGGCCACTGTTTGCTCCCCAAAACGCTGAACTCCTGGCGCTCCCTCTGAGCACCGTCACTGGACTCTCAGCCTCTATTTGTGCCTCCGTGGGCTCTGGGCCTCAGGGCTGTGTCTTTCCTCAGGTCTGGGGTCCGCCCCTTACATCCACATGGAGGGATCTGTGGAGAATGGAGTCCAGCTTGTGTGCACTGCAAAAGGCTGGTTCCCAGAACCTCAGGTTTCTTGGCAAGACATCACGGGAGAAAAGTTGCTGACTGTCTCTGAGCATCACGTCCAAGATGAAGATGGCTTGTACTATGTGGAAAGCACTCTCGTGGTCAGGAATCCCCTTCCAGAGGCCGTGTCCTGCTTCATCCACAACCCCACGCTCACTGAGGAGAAGGGGTCACATATCTCCATCCCAGGTCAGTGCTCTGCCTCCCGGACCAAGGTGCTCAGATTAGCAGGAAAGGTCACAGGGACAGTTCCATAGCACCCAGTATTTTTTAATCAAGAAAAAAATCTAACATTTAGTAATATACATTAAAAACTATAGAACTATTTATGGCTAGAAATATACACACTATATATCCTGATTAATTTTCAAGTCCTTCTTTTTCTTTTTTATTAATTTACTTTACTCACAAGTATGTGTTACATTGTAAAGAAAATAACTACATTCTTTCAACCAAAATGTTTTCCTATGCTGAATTTGTGTCAGTTACTTCTTGGAACCTATCATCTGAAGCTAATCAGAGATGGAGACAGCTGTTTACATAGTAGCATCGTAATCACAGCCTCATTTATAAACAGCAACACAAACTACTGCCAGAAACCCAACACAACAGTGGAGCGTTAAGTGTATTATGTTACTATACGTTATAGCATTGAGGAAAAATGGTATTTTCAAATAAATTTAATGGTTGAAAGAAATTGTCATGACGGACTCCTCAATGATAAAGATTATATCTGTCTATTCATCTATCTATCTATAAATAGAGATTTCCAATCATGTAAAGTTTATTGGCTGTAAATAAATTTAGAACTGTGCTAAGAGTTTTGGGACATACTCTATATTTAGATATAAGGATGCAAGTACACAGTTACTCATATAAATGGATACAGGGAAAAAAGTTAAAATAAATATTGTATGTTAATGTCAAAAGGAGCCAACTATATATATATATATATAAATTATAAAACATATACATATATTTATATGTTTTATCTCTCAGTGTGTAATTATGGGTGATAATTGTCTATGTCCATATATTTTATACATTTGATGCATTTATAAACATAATATTATTTTAATAAAATAGTTAAATACTAGTATGTTAAATACAGGCAGAAACAAACAGAATCAGAGGGCGGTTGAAATGTGTGTAGGTGGTTGACCCAAGAGCATTTTTGTTGTACAGAGAAAAGGAAAAGCAGCTGGACCACTAGGAGATGGATGGGAAAAAAATTATTATTTTTCTGCATTTAGTTTCTTTCTTATGAATCAAGCATATCAATAAAATGGAGGACTTGATTTTATTATTTTTTGAAACATTTCCTCTCCTTTCCCTTAGACCAAAATGTTTAATATGTTATTCTCATTATTTTTCCAGAGAAACTGCAGGCGGAGCTCGGTACGTAGATGTGGTTGCAAGCACGAGTCTAGATGAGCCTCTGCCCTCCCCGGAGGGAGGTGGTGCTCCCTGGACAAAGCATGTGCAGCCACGGCGACTGCTCGTGATCCAGATGAGAAAGCAAGGCGTGACCTGCCCTGTCTCACGTTCAGTTAGTACTGGAGGGACCCACAAAGCAAGCGCAGCCTCCCGCAGGCACCTTTGCCCTCCATGACCTACCACTTTCAGTGTCCGTGGGGACCCCAGTGAGCCTCGGAGAGATGCCCAAGATGGCTGCAGACGCCAGCTGCGTCCTACTGGGCGGGAGGAAAGGGAGCTGCGTCTGGTGTGTGTAGAGGGTGGCACAGAGCGGCCGGCCAAGCTCTGGGAGCCCTAGTGTGAGTTTCTGGTGTAAGTGCAGAGGCATCATGAGAACCGGTGGTCCTCCCCCGCTCCTGCCGCCTCTGGCCCTGCTGCAGTTTCTGCCCCTGCTGCTCACCCCGTGGGCCCAACCTCATCACTGTCAGGAGGGGCTGTTACTTTCCTGGATGCAGCCTGTGAGGTGATCATTTTCTGGTTTTTTTTTTTGTTTTTTTTTTTTACTTTATAGTCGGATGCAGGTATTATTTTATTGGACCTCAGATAAGTGGTTTAAACAATAACCAACTGATTTTTGAGCCGCTTTTGGTTTCTCTTTATTGCTTTATCATCTTCCTCCTTTTCTTCCTTTCGGTGTCCTCTTCTCCCAGCCCATGATGGCCAGCCTGCTCCCTGCCCGTTCACTTTCTCCTTCCAATACCCTACTCTCCCTCAAAACACCGGTTACAGGAAAATGTGTGTAGGTGTGTGTGTATGTGTGCTTGTTGCGCATTAGGTGAGTTTAAGCCCACTTTTCAGCCCATGTAGGAGTTTTAGAGGAAAATTAGGGTGGCAAACACACCCCAATCTCTGCCAGAGTCTGTTGTGACACTTCTGACCCCTTTGGGCCATAAAGATAAAGGGGAAGGACTTGGGACGGTCAAAGGTAACGCCACAGTTGGAGGAGAGCTGCACACCTGTGAGCCTGACCTTCCAAGTCAGACGCCCTCCTGCCTGGGGTGGCATCTGCTTGTGACAGGACGGAAACCTTGACTGGTTAGTTATGGCTCAGAGAGCCAAGCCTGTGACTGGGGCAGGTCGAGCCACGTCTCTGTCCCTTAGGAAGATTTTCGGTGAAGAGTCATTTCTTGGAGTTATCTGAACCAAATCGCCGTGTCCATTGGAAACCCAGCACACAAAATACAGCCTGATGTCCTAGTGTTGTGCACACCTTCTGGGACCACAGTTAAACAAGATGAAAAGTTGGAGCTTCCCTTGGCTCCCGGTCGGGAGGAGGGCTGGGCCCTCAGGAGCTTCAAGGGTGTGCTGTTAATGGAGAGAACCAGGAGAGTCGCAGCCGCCTCTGGTTGTTAGGGCTTGTGCCTAAGCGCTCAGAGGCAAGCTGAGCTTTCTGTAGAAGTCCTGAGGCTGAATTTCTACTTCCCACCCTGTCAAATAATGTTACTGATTTTAAAAATTATGACTAATTTTTTGAAAGGTTAATTATATGCTCGGCACTATGCCAAGTCCTCTTCAGGAGTTATTTTCTTTTCTTACAATAATTTTAAAGATGAATAGATTTGTCCTCATTTTACAGGTGGGAAACAATCTTAGAGACATTATGTGGTTTGCTGAAAACCACGAAGAAATTGTGATATTTGCCTTCTAATCTCTGTCTAGCTGACTTAAGAGTATGTGCTTTTAATCACTTATTGGTGATTTTAGTAAGTCATTGGTCTCTATTTTTTGTCACTTTAATATAAACATATTGAACTTAATCCCTAATGTAGTGTCAGGTTCTAAGTAAGAGTCATGATATGATATGATATGATATGATATGATATGATATGATATGATATGACATGGTTTACTGTATTTGAGGAATGAGATAGCCCACTTATTGAATAAGCTGGTTGAGACAGGATTAAATGATATGATGATGAGATTATCAGCCCCCCCGGGATGCCCCTGGGTTCTAAACAACCCAAAATGTTCTTGCTGATGACACTCTTGGCTCCATTTTGAATCTTTCATTGTGTTTTTTCAGCTTCCTTAAAGGTGATTGGACCTTCCCAGCCCATCCTGGTCAGAGTGGGAGAAGACATACGATTAACCTGTTCCCTGTCCCCTAAGACTAATGCACAGAGCATGGAGGTGAGGTGGGTCCGATCCCACCGCTATCCTGCTGTTTATGTCTACATGGATGGGGACCATGTGGCTGGAGAGCAGATGGCCGAGTACAGAGGCAGGACTGTATTGGTGAGCGATACCATCAATGAGGGGAGGCTGACCCTGCAGATAAACAATGCCAGAATTTCAGATGATGGACAGTACCAGTGCCTTTTTGAAAAAGATGGTGTCTACCAGGAAGCCAATCTGGATCTGAAGATCGTAGGTAAGGACTCTAGATAGATGTTTTGAATTCAACATCTGTTTCTACTGCTTTAACTTCCTAGTTCATGGAAATTTTCTCTAGCACTAAAATTTTCTTAATGTCCATTCACTCATCAAATTTATATTAAACGCTCCAATGTGCAAGAGATGTCATCAAGTCCAGAAACACAAGTGGACCAGATTTAATTCTGTGTGTGTAGAATTTGTATCGTCTCTAGATCTCCATAAAGTGGCTGTACATCTAGTGAAGTCTGGGAATTTTACTCCATAACTACACAGGACTCATTATTTCAGTGTGTTGTTAGAATTCTGGGAAATGTATAGTTATTAGAAATTATGATGATGAAGACTAAACCAGATCCACTGTAGAAGCAAAAATCATAAATATTGACAGTATTGGCAGGGATGGAAGAGGAAAGGCAAAGTTACTCCCCACATCATGATGTCCCACTGCTTCTATTTATGAGTGAAAATTGGTTTTCCAATGTTAGCAAATTCCATTGTGTTCATAGCCAAAATCAGGGATAATCTACTTGTTTCTTCCACTTATGGTGTATCCAAATTAATAAATATATTTAAAAATTATCTATGGGAGTGCATGTTGAAAAGTTAAATGAAAGCTATCATTGGAATTTGACACAACATTGTAAAATGATTATAAATCAATAAAAAATGTTAAAAAAAAGAAAGCTATCATTTTTGCCATTGGACACATATATGTATAGGATTTTGATCTTTGAGAGTATTCTCTTATTCACTTTCATTTTTTTTCTTGGCCATATGACTCATGCCCTGGTCAAAGTTATTCTGTTTCAGGTATAGAAGAAAAAAAAATGGATTTGAAATGTATTGGATCCCTTAACCTGTCCTAGGATGATTTTAGGAATACATAAAATAAAAATAAAAATATTATATATGTAAACAAAAGGAAACAAGTAAAGACTCCTGCTAGCATCATCCCTAAGTGGAGTGTAATTTCCCAATAAACTTTGGTCTCTTCCCCAAGCTTCTGATTCCCCCTCTTCCCTCTCGGTGAAGTCACTGGCTATATAACCACTTTCAGAGACTCTAAGTTGCCTTCCTTGGTTTCTATTCCTCAGGTCTTGGTTCTTCCCCTCTGATCTCCGTGGAGGAATGGAAGGATGGAGAAATAAAGCTACTGTGCACTTCAGAAGGGTGGTTCCCACAGCCCCATGTACAGTGGAGGGACGTGGAAGGAAAGGCCATACCATCGTTTTCCCAGGACCTGACTCAAGGCAGCCACGGGCTATTCCGCGTGGAGGCGTTTCTACTGATCACAAACAGCTCCACTGTGAACGTGACCTGCTCCATCAGCAACCCCCTTCTCGGTGAGGAGAAAGTGACAGCTTTCTCTCTTTCAGGTTAGTGACTCCATGCGTTCCTCTCAGATTTGGGAGATAAATACGCACACCGACCCAGACTTACTCATCATATCGCTTTTCTATTTTTCCTTTTTTCTTTCTGATGAAACCTCTTGATGGCTCTTGCAAAGCTGGTCTTCTGGACACCTAGAGATTCTACTCTTTTGAGTCTCTTCTAGAAATCCCCAGCTAAAGCTCTAAGGTTACACTGTTACATTGTTACATACCAAATTCCAAGAACTGACTCTGTTGTCACTATATCTACAAATTCTTTTCTTCTGTTGTGAAAACGGTATCACTTTTTTCCCCTCATGATGGGTTTTCTTCTGGATTAGAAACTAATTTTCCTCAACATTATCTTCATGGCCTTGGACTTGGTGATTTTATCTTTTTGTCACCCTTGTTGTTCCAGTGATGGTGATGATATAATTGGAAAAGAGAAGGGAAGTGTGTGTGCGTGTGTGTGTGTGTGTGTGTGTGTGTGAGGGGGTGGTTTCTGAGAGGAGCAAACAGTAAAATCAGCATAAACCTCTGGTCTCTCCTCAGCGTCTGCAGAGCAAGGAGGAGAAGACCAAATTCCTTCTTGACAGGACCAATTCTAACCCTCCTCCTCAGCCCAGGAGCTGCTCAGATGAAAAGGAAGATCTTGACATTTTCCCAATTTCATGATTTAATGTGATTCTGGGGTTTCCGTTTCAGAGTTCAGGATGACTTTTCCACGGATGATACCGATTATTTGGGGATTGCTTCTTATTGGAGCTGTGGGCTTGATCTGGAGGTGCTGCTGTAGACGAGGTAAGTCAGGCAAACAGAAACAGTGTGAAGCACGCTTTGTGGTGGGAACCTTACTGTACACTTTCCCTGGCCTCTCTTTTCAGCAGGCACACACAGAGGCATTCAGTGGATATTCAGTGATC